TATGACTGAGCAAACATTCGCTTAAAACTCTAGCTATGCTCAACTTGAGATGTCATACTCATACCACTGAAGAACAGTTGGCGTTTCTAACTTAAATCTTTAGACCAGACACCCCAGAAAACGTATCATAACATTGCTTTACTTTAGGGGGGATGGTTTATCTGTCCTACGAAATAACATTGGATCATCAGCAAAGCAGAGTTGACTAAGCTTCAATCTGCTACATTTTGGGTGGTAGAGGAACCCCACATCATTCTCCACCATCCTTGAGAATTCTGGTTAATTAATCATTCCATGCATACTACAAAGAGAAAAAGTAACTGACATAGGGTCCCCCAGCCGCAAGCACTTCCTACTTCGAATATCTAGCTTCATAAGACACCCTGGAGGTCCATTTTGTCTCTCATAGCCACTTACCAAGTTCAGGCAAATCAAAATATTTGTCATGATATTTCTGCATTTTAGGAAAGCACCTTGGCCTTCACTGATTATATATACCAGGGATAATCCTCTTCATTCTCTTTGTGAACTACTTGGATATTATCTTATAAACTACATTACAACAGGCTAAAGGTCTATTGTCTCCTACTTTTGTAAGGTTAGGAAATTTTGGCACTAGAGTAATATTAGTAGAGTTTACAGTTATATATTGTCATTCTGAAAAGAGTAATTTTCCTCCAAAAAGACAAAAGAAAATGGAAAAGAGTAAAGTACAATTATTGTCTTAGGAGGCTCTATTACGAAATAAAATTTTAGTATGTGAATCATTTGTCATTCTTATCTAAGGAGTAAATGAGTTTCAAAAAAAAAACTCCACACACACACATAAAGAGGCCAACAACCCAAACGAAGAAAAATCAGAGCATATCTGGCCCAAAAAAAAGAAGTCCAGCAAGCATTAACATACGGATTTTCAAAGTCCAGATGCAGCCCAGAAGCCTTCTGTGTCCGTAAGTGGCTGACATTAACCTGATCTTGGTAGGATTGGTTGAGGTTCTGTCTGTTTTAATGTAATGTCCCTGCCTGATCCGACGTAGGGGAAGAATGCTCCATTTGCAGCGGCAACATTAGAAGGTGAAGTTCCATTCTTTGGTGGTTCTTCCACTCTATTTTCTTCGATTATCTCACTATTTTTCCATCATTTCTGATGACCCTTTTCAGTAAACATCAAAAAATGTCACTGCCCTTAGGACTGGGGGCCTCTGGCTTCTCCTTCTCTCCCGGGTCTGGTCTGAAGAACCTCCATGAAAGCTTCTCCAAGCAAGGGTACAAGACTAGGCAAGTTTCAATTTTTTATTTACGTTTACCAGTCTACCTTAGGCTGGAATGGAGAGAAGGGAGAGGAGAGGGAGAGTTTGTGGTTTTTGTCTGTTGCATTACTTGTACTGTTTGTTGCTCAGGTCTTGTGCAGATGCTTTAAAGGGATCACCCCATTTTTGTTGTGATGTTGACAAGGTTTTGCAAAGAGGAAGTTTGAGGCAGCAGGTTGTTTCAGTGAGTAGACCAGACTATTGTGACCATTCCCATGAGGAGGGAACAGAAGAGGTTTCTAAAGCAACCTTGATATGGAGAGCAATCAAGTTGCCAATTTACTCTGTTGCTTTGGTTCCATTAACTGTGAGTTTCTTCAGCTTATTAAATCCTAAATTGCAATTGAGTCGCTCAAAATGAGGAAAATAGTTTCTTAAACATAGGCTTGGTCTGAGATTGTTGTGTAGTGTGTTGTAGCAGTGGCTTTTCTTTTGCAAAAACTATGTTAGTGTTTGTTAATTACTTTAAAAAGTGTTATACATCCATATAATTACTAAAAATATATAAAAAATTAATTAGAATTAATTTAATCATATCAAATTAACATTTTTAGTGAGAAAGCGCCGTGTGAGAGCAAATGCCAAATGCAGCCTTATTCTGCTTTCTACTTTAGATTTTGATAGTTTATTACCATCCCTGAAACCTGAAGATTGAAACATCTTTTTACTATTGTTTAACAGGTAGGTAGTGCTGCGGCCTATTTGCAAACAGGCCTATTTTTATCGGGGCGTTATTTTCTTCTCTTGGCTTCTTCAGTCCTCATTATCACTTGGCTCAATTTAAGGTGTGTACCATATTAGTGAATTGATTTATGTCTAGAACGGGGCATCAACTGCATTTGTTGATGGTTAAGATTTCATACTATACAGAGTCTTAAATGGCTCACTTTCTGTGCTATGATAATAAATCATTTTTGTTCAACTAAATCAAGGTGCCTCTAGTTTAGGCCACTAAAGCTATTCTGGCTCAATTTCATGGTTGTTGAGCTTCAGTGCTTCACTCTACTGTCAGGATACTTAAAGATGTTAAAATTTTCAATTTTTTTGTCAATGGACAGCAACGATGTTTATGATTTTGACACTGGAGCAGATAAGAACAAAAAAGAATCAGTAGTAAATTTGGTCGGCAGGTAAACTGACTAATTCCTACTTATCCTATGTTACTTCTGTTTGTCTGATCTTCTAATGTTCTGATGGAAAACTACCCTGCAATGCATTTGTGAAGCCGTTCTGGTGCCATTATTGCTGCCTACTCATCACTTTTCCTTGGCGTCTTCTGGCTGACTTGGGCATCTGCAGATGCAGGAAACATGTGTTCAATATTGTTATTGGCTTGTGCAATTATCTGTGGGTATATATATCAGGTACAGTGATTCCTTTTTGCATTTTGTGAAGTTCTTAAATATATACTACACCTGAGAAATGGGGCTCTTATATCTGTTTTTCTCTTTCAGTGCCCACCATTAAGGTTAAGTTACCAAGGATTGGGAGAGCCCTTATGCTTTGCAGCCTTTGGCCCATTTGCTACCACTGCATTTTACCTGTTGCTAGGAAGCACAAGGTTGTTAACTGAACAGTGATAACATATACTTCGGATTCTGATTCCCCATCATCTTGTTCATTTAATATAATTTGCACGGGTGTTTTTGACAGCAACATCACTTCCCTTCCCTTAACCAGAACGATTCTTTGTGCATCATTCTTTGTAGGCTTCACAACATCCCTTATTCTGTTTTGTAGTCACTTTCATCAGGTAGTTTTATTTTGTTCATGCTGTTTTTTGGTATTGAGAGATCGTTGTGTGTCAATAATATGAATGTTGTATTACTCAGATTGAAGAGGATACGGCAGTCAGAAAAATGTCACCACTGGTGTGTATGCTTCTAGTTTTCATGTTTTTTGTGAGGAAAGCAGCTGATTCATTTTTCCATTTTTTCCTCCTTTCCTGTAAGCAGGTCAGATTGGGCGCCGAGAGGGGTTCTACAGTAGTGAAAGGGGCAGCCATGATACTTTATACTCTTTTATTTTCCGCTGGTATAAGCGGAGCTCTTCCCTTGACTTGCTCTGTGAGTAAAATTTAACTTGGCAAAATTCTTGCCTTTGATGTTTTTAACGTTTATGTCCTATATACTGAAACTTTTGTGTCTGTCTTATGGTTTTCTCAGGTTCTTTGCGCCCTGACATTACCCATAGCGAAACTGGTGGTTAAATTTGTTGAAGAGAATCACAAGGTGAGCATTAAACTTTCAGATGACTCTTTGAGCAAAAGAGAGATAGTGTCAAATGTGCAAAAGAGAAGAACGATTGCAGCTATACAAATGCTGACTGGGTGACTTAATTTCCGGCCAAAAATGGTGTTTCAATGCACCATGATTAGTTATTCTCTGTGGTGCAGTTAATCTTCAGATTTCTTCTGGAAATTTCCTTATTTACTGTTTCTTATTGTACTTCATTTTTTGCAGGACAAAGAGAAGATCTTCATGGCAAAATATTACTGTGTGAGACTGCATGCATTGTTTGGAGCTGCATTGGCAGCTGGATTGGTCTTAACCAGGGTGCTTCCTAAAAGATATGTCCCAAGGCTCATATTCTCTTCAGTGATCCTCAGTCTAGACATGAAAAGTTGATACCAAAGATCAAATCCAGATGGAGGAATAATTCATCTGAGTAAGCACATCAGTTTGCTGTTGAAGCTAAGAACCCCCACATAAATGCTTGTAACACAACCCAAGTTGTTCCTATTTTTGCTACTAGCAGGCACAATTAGCCGAGATGAGTGATCTGTTCTTTGGGGGCGTTGCTTGGTAGGAGGATGGAAAAGGAGAATAATAAAAAAATTTTACACTTGATGTCTGGGTCATGCAACATGTTGCACCAATGCATTGGATAAATTTCATAAGGTGCGAAGAATGGTGAATAGAGTATAATGGTTCTTAAAAGGCGACATGTTTGTACCTTTGTCTGTTACACAATATAGCAAATCAGAAATGATTGGTCAAGACAAGAAAGCACATGCAGAGGGCAGCAAACTCTTACTCTTAACATACCACGTGTCTAAGTATCTTAAAACAGAACATCACATCTATGGCAAAACGCCTGCATTAATATGAAAAAACCACAAAAACTGAGTCTTAGCAAGATCCATTGTTCACCAAAACTCTTGAACCAATCTATGCTGCAGTAGAAGGCTTGGAGGCAGCAGAAGAGAGCCTTGATCTCCTCTTTGCCAAGCTCTCACTACGCTTCTCCCGTTGCTCCTTCAACCTTGTGGCAAGTAGTTTCTGGTACTCAGCTGCCTCCGACTTGGCCTTAGCAATTCTTTTTTTCTTATCTGCAATTCTAGCACGCTTCCTCTGGAGAGTCAGTGGAGTAACCAGCCTCTGAATCTTGGGAGCTTTACTAACCTTCTTGCCTGCAAAGAGCAAGATTGATTTCAGCAACAGTTTTGAAATTGGAAGAGCCACCCTCTTCAAATTGATTCAAACAGCCTGTATTCCCCAACATAAACTGCCCTATTCCACTCCCAAAGAAAACACTATATGTATTGATAGTATTTCTTATCCTGTTAGAAGGGTTCAGGATCAGAAGTGCATGGAATAGATGCACCAACCATCATCACTTCATCCAACAATTGTACAAGAGAGACCTTAGTCCTCTTGCTCACTTGCATAATTGTCAGCCTAAGAACAAAACAAAGAGACTGTACATAGGGATTCATATCCTCTCTACAAAAGATGGGGTGCACACTATATACCATGACGGAAAAAATATCACATCTAAGCAGAAAACACCAATCCTATAAACCAATTAAGGTTGAGAATAACTTATTACGTTTAGGGGAATATGAAAACATCCACTTACATTCTGCACATGTATATTAATGTACCAGACATAGTTCCTTTCTAAGGAAAGAAGAATCCAAAGTACTTTACCAGATTTTGTTGTGAAAGTTCTCCTGTAAGTGTTGACATATTTCCTGACATCATCCTCTTTGGAGAGGTTAAAGAGCTTCCTAATCTTGGAAGCTCTCTTTGGACCTCTCATCCTTGGCTTTTCAGTGTCAGTAAGCCCAGGGAGATCATTCTCACCCTTCTTCACTATAACCAGGTTCAAAACAGAGAGGTCAGGGCTAACAATGCATCCACGAACAGACTTCCTCCTGCGCTCTCCATTGCGTCTTCCATATCCACGGAAGCATGGGGTACCTGACAAAACATGATATATGAATAAACTTTATCACACAACATAATCCCTAAACTAAAGAGGGTTTGGAAAAAATTTTAAGGTTTGTTAGACCACATTCAAAACCCCAAAAAGTTATCACACATATAGAAGACAAGAAAAGGAGCCAAGCTAAATTTGCAACTAGAGAATTACATTATAAACAGGGAAATACAACCCAGGCTATGAAAACAAAAGCATTATTAACAAAACTGGTGCTCTTACGATAACAATTAGTAACAAAACTGAGCTATGACATGCATCAAGTTACCACAAAAAATAAAAACTCTCATCGCACAAAGCCTCTAAAAGATTAAGACTTGAAGTTATGTACTTGTGGATGCTCCAAAGCCTACTCACCTCTATGAAGCAGAAGACGAACACGACCAGGAGTCAGAACTCCCTGCTTCATTGGAAATCCTTGCTTGTCACAACCTCCCATGATCTTGAAAACATAGCCCTTGAATTCCTGTCAAACAAGGAATACATCATTAAATCTGGAGAATCAAATAATAAGAGTAAGATTATAGGCAGAAAGAACATTGACAGTAATTGCATACATCACCCAGAGCATCTCCGCTAACCTCCTGTGAAATCCTCTTGTCAAAAAATGCTCGACTGTACATACAATTCAGAATCCGCATTAGTATTTCTTTAAGAATGTCATGAGAACAGATAAGCACAATTTGCTATCCACAGAAGCAATACAAACAGCAATATTCAAAAACAAAGGGTAAGAGGGCAGCTATTTCAAAACTGAAGAAATGCAATCAAACCTTGGCGGACTCAACAAAATGATAAATCACACAAAAGTTCATTCCTTTACACATTAACCCTACATCAGAAATCTCTGGCACTTGGAAATTAATTTAACCAGCCTGAACTGAGCTCCCCCCCTCCCCCTGATTCTCTTATTCCTCTTGGCAAGTTTCTCAGCAACTAAACAGCAACAAACACAAAGCCGGAAAAGGGTAGGAAAAATGGAACTTACAGCTTCTGATCGTCATCGATGTCGACCTTCTTCTGGCACCCAGTGGTTGGATTCGCGATATTGAACTACAATAAGAAGCGGAGAATTGACACACGAGAATTTAAATTCAAAGGAAATGAAGGAAAAAGAACAAAAATGGAGAACTGAATCTGCATATTAGGATTTTCAGGTACCTTCATTTTGGATGAACTCTAGCCGCTATGGTGACGAAGAGAAGCAGCTGAGCCTGCGCAGGAGAGGGTTTGGGAGACTTAAAGCAGAGAAATTAGGGTTTTTCGAAGCACTATATATCGTTCGGTGAATATTGGATTAGCCCACTTTTCATAGCCTTATTCGGCCCATATTTGTATTGGGTATAGCCCGTGATTGTTGCTGTATTTCTTGGGCCATTACTTTAAGATGGGTTGTTGTGTGCATTACCACTTTTGTCCTTTTCGGTACGTCATAGATTTTTTTTGGGGTGGTTTTTAGGAACATTAGATGATTAGATTACTTTACTAGGGATATAACTCCCCTCACATAATCCTCTCCACCTACCTTGCCTTGAGGCACATGAGGAGACCATGCTCTTAGTTATAAACAAATTTAGTAATAAAAGTTCAATTTTGAATAATAAAAAAGAATATTTTATTGTTTGAATTATATCATTGTTAAGGTGCAGGTGATGTGGGTTAATGAGTCAACAATGAAAGTGATGTGGAAGCTGATTAGGATGCCACCCATAGGAAATGAGAAGGGTTCTTTTAGCTAGCACCCATTTTACGTGCAAGAGGTTACGTGTCATGGGATATCTCACTCTGTCCAACAATGATGGTTAGTAGCAAATTCCCCAACAAAGCCTAAAAGTAAATTTTCCAGTCAAGCTAGAAGAGTTGGGCAACAATGACGGATATTGAGGGTTGAAAATGATTACACAACTACCAAAAATAATAAAAATGAGGTGTACATTGTGGAAGGAACAACAAGAATAGAAAATGTATAAAGATTAAAGATTACAACTTGAAAAACACATTTATACATAATATATTGTGGCAAAATAGTAAAAACAATGAATGTGCTCTCTATTATCTTTGACAAATACTCCTAGTTTATAACGAACAACTTTCATGTTGTGGGTGAAAGGCACAATGATTCCTTTCAAGCTTTCTCAACAACAAAAGGAATAAACTTGAAAGTAGTGATGGGAAAAGGAAGGATGACCGTCATGGAGGCTTGTGAATGGAGGGTTTGTGAATGGAGGGTTTGATCCCATTCTTGATGCTAACCTTTCAGCTTAATCTTTTGATGTTTAAGAAAATAACTTAGAATCTGAAGTTGTAGCATGTTGTCTCCCAACCATGACGTTCTGCAAGTCTGGAAAGTATTCTACAATGCTGGAAGTGTAGAAATATGAGAAAAATAGTGATTTTTAGATGATTTTAGTGTAGGATGAGAGGTTAAAGATGAAGAGCTTTTTAGAGGAAAAATGGAGGTTTGATCTGTGAAGAGGGATTGGATTTGTGAAATCTGTTTTGTTTGTTGAAAAATGACAAAAAAATTGAAATATATATATGTAGCGGCAATTTTGTAATTTTGGGTTAAGGATCAGAGTTGCCCAGTTAACTCACGGGTAAATCTAGGTTAAGTAGAGATAGTTGTTGAGTTTTGAGTGGTTCTGGGTACTGTTGACAATTTTTTAAAAAGTGATATCATGAATTATCTAGTGGTTCCAACGAAGGACTACTAGTTTGCTGGAAACTGCCCATTTCTAATAATTCTTCCAACCATACGAAATACTATTTTTGGGAGGTATTTGAGTACAGTTGGGAAAAATCAAATCTACTCAGAATTTTCGTAGATTTTCCAAGTAAAATGTAATCTTTTTCAATATTTTCCAATGTAGTGGAACTTGTGCAACTACCTTTTTTAATAACTTCCAATACAATAAAACTTGTGCAGCCACCATTACATTAAATATAGGTGCAACTTGCTAATGGGGACTAAAATAGCATCTCTTGTTGGTTTTTAACGAGATTCCAGGTCTTTTAGTTAACATCAAATGGTGCAGTTTTGGGATCAAGTTTTGCCTCCACATCATCCCCACCTAGCCTTTTCTAGCTAAGTTGAGCAACATCATCAGCTTCAAGCTTGGCTGGCGCGAATACCTCGCTTTACCAAACAAGCAACATTCATCTATTTATGCCTACCAAGCTATTAGTCCTATAGTTTATCCTGAGTAATCTCCATGAGTTTGGATTCATGGGTTTGTATTTATCTGTAACAAAAGCAAATTATGAATGAGTATTTGTTCAAATATTTAAGTATAAAATGTATAAATATGTATAGCAAAGAAGGATACTCCCTTGTATGTTGAAAGGGATGATGAGAATAAATACTATTGTGCCCTTTTGTCTACTGGCCATGGCGAGCACTTGTATAATTATGCTGTGTATGTTTGGTATTGCTCCAAAATAAAGGAGTATCATGAATGCATGTTGTGATATTGTTTTCCCGAGCCAAGTATTTTTGATTGGCGATATCTGCTAACACATAAAAATATAAAGGAGATATGTTGTGGATTGGGATTATCGACGATTGGTAATTTTGTCCATTTATATAAAAGAATAATAATGTGCATGTCCGTTGGCCATTTTGTACAAGTATTGCAGGGTTAGCTATGAATAGCTTCTCTATAACTAGAAAGACAACAATGGCTAGCATTATTTATGATTAAAGCGTGAACTATGTAGAATCGAAAAAGTATTTTCACTAATCCGCTAAGTCGCAAAAGGAATAATTCTCTTTAAGCCAGACTTCGCAATAACAATGAATATGTGATAAAAATATGTGGCGTTGTCTCCATGGAAGAGGGACGTCAGCCGCATCCGTGGCCTCCGAGATGACAAGGTGTGATACCATTAACAAACACTGACCTTTCTTGTCTTATTTGCACTGTTAGAATGTGGTCTTAGTTGTTGTTGCTCACCAAGCATCACACCACCATGTAGGGCAACCACCAAGGGAGTGTCAATCTCAACTTGATGGATTTTTGTCACTAGAGGGTAGTCATCCTGTTCAGTTGCAAGGTTGCAACTGTTACCAACTTCATGCTAATTGTACTGAGTTACGCTAACTCTTTGTCAGCTTTTGAGAGCTAATGAGATAAAATATGTAAGTATCCTACCCTTTGTCCGTTATTGGGAGCCAATATAATAAAGATATATAGAAATTTGTAGCCTTTTACCTATTACTGGAGGCTAAACAAGATAGTAAATCTGACCCTTTGTCCATCACTGGGAGCTGTATAGATGTAGCATGTTGTCCATTGATGGGAACCACGTATATGTAGCAAAGTAGGTTCTTTGTCCATTGTTGGGAGTTAAAAGATGTAGTAGTAAATATCGCTATAGAAAACATGATTGTCAAAAACGCCCAATCATGTTGTAGAGATAGATATAGTCGTGTTTGGCCATGTATATGAAAATAGATGCTGAAGTGGATCATATCTATAATGTTTCTAGTGAAGTGGATGAATACCATATCTAGCGATGATGACTTCATTACAGTAATTAGTAAAAAATAAAATATAACAAATCTAATGTGAAAATAAACTATGTGAACCCTTC